TTCATGTAAATTCGGCAATACATGTACATTTTTACAAAGAGTGATTCGCTCCTCGATCTTAGTGGACTTTATTAGTGAAGGTAACTAGAAATAAAAAATTTGGTGTAAAATATTTAAAGAGTCAACAGTATGGACCAAAATAAACAAAAAATCATTTTAATCATGGGTCCGCAAAGTAACGGTTTCGGAAGGTTATTATTTTTCACCCTTTCTTTTTATTTTGCCAAAACTTTCTTATCATAGTTGCCTAATATTTTGTAAAATAAATACTAGGTATTTTAGCAAAGAAAATATGTATTTTGTGGATTTTCTTTTATAAAATTGCAAAGTACTTTGGGCATTAGGCTACCTTCAGCGCTTATTTAAAATCATTATAAATACAAATAATATGTATGTACTAACATTTATCATTTAACAACAGTAACGCATTCTTACAAAGTTGTGAGTAGCTCACTCTCAGTATAATTAGTAAGTTTGTACTAAGACTTGCCAAACGTATTATAAATTCCCTGAAAGATGAAAATAAGCCAATACATTTTCCGAGAGCTTGGATCTTCTTTAACGAGTTTCTGTTAAAATACTGTTTAATTGTCAGTTTTGAAGGTCGATAAAAAATAAAAGTCAGCTTCAATAGTTTACCAAGCTATTGGTTTTTTATTTAGCTTGAAAACTCTGCCGATGTTTTATAGTTTTCTTTATTACAGTTTGCTACTGTCCCCAATACGGCAAATGGGACCCGTAATATCTGAAAATTCTCTGACTAAAAATAAGACGATTAAAAGAAACATGCCTTAGTAAAATTTTGCTGGTTTTCGAAAAACGGTGTGTTAAGGTTCAAAAATTAATATTGGCTATAATTTTTTTTATTTATTTACAATTTTAGCGTCATAACTATCAACAAAAAAATCAGTTAAATAAACTTTATCAGTGGCGTACGGCAAGGATAAGTAATACCTTCAACCTCTCTAAATTTTACGCCACTGCCCAAAAACTTATTTAAACTATAATTTAATATTTTTTGTATTTAAATAGATATTCACACTTTTAATTTTCTATTTTACAATATAAAAGAAAAGTTAAATTAAATTAAATTCCCCACAATTTTATATATACAAAAATTTTCCATCTAATCTTTTGTTGAAACTTTATTGCAAAAAGACACTGGTTTTTCAATATTAGCGAATCGAGCTAGCATACTATTTGATTAAAATTCGGATATGTTTATCAAAGCATTTATTGTAGTATACCTGAAAAATATCAGCGCTCTGCAACTTTTAATTTGTGCTAATTCTTTGACCTATGACCACGCACTTTTAATCGCGTCTCGGACATACAGTATTCATATTAAAAATACGCACTTTAGGGAATATTAAATAAACTGAATTTCAGATTGACTTTTGGGAATATATTTTCTGATCGATTTCAAGATAAATTATAAGGGTAATTTTGATAAAATTTCCAAAAAAAATGCCAATTCTAAGACAAACTATCGACTCAAACAAAAAAAAGTGTATAACGAGGTTTTTCAATAGGATCATCCTTTAGGACAATCCTTTCAGCCAATACCTTTCGCGAAATGAAGCATTCCAAAACATGGGGGTATGACCTTCAACGACAATACATGGCTCTTGGCTCTTTTGAGGACGCTCTTGAGGGCAAACTATAAATACTAGGGTAGAACTTCGTCAACGTTTTTTTGACACAAATATTCTCTAAATTAAGAATGGAGAAGAGTTTTACATTGCAGACTGGCCGTTTGCTCAGCGTTTTCAAATATCGACTTCCCCCCCCCAAAAAAACAAAAATGCAAGTCAGACTAGCCCAGAGTAACAGAAAGGGGATCATGAGGATACTGAATTGGTAATATTCTAATTTATAGCTTTATTATAATTTCCCATGGGTAACCCCTATCCTGGACGCTACATTGCTTATGCTATTATAGGAAACGTACAAATACAAAAAGAAGTGCAATGACAGCCATTTCCCTACAGTATGCTGTGGTCTTCATAAGTAAACGTATAAGTAAAAGAAGAAGAGAGAATAGTTTGGAAATGTTCAGAAATATTATTCCGTGTCAAGAAACATCTGGCTGGTTTAAGAAGGTTTAGGAAGGTTCAAGCGATGTCGATGTCCTGATGTCAAAGTTTCAGCTTTAATAGAGACGATTTACGTTGATGTTATTAGTTGTATAGTTGAATTGTAATAGTTGAGTTTAAATTAACGTGAGTTACAAAAAACCAGTGAAACACTATAAATAAACTGACCTAGAGTTTAACTACGAAGTACCTACGTTTTCACCCACCGATGATAAGCAGTCGACTGAGACTAAGATATATGCAAGACACATAGCTAGGTACGTTGCTTCTCTTGCAATATTCCTTTTTTTTTAATGCTTTTAGGTGCCAAATAAAATATTTAAGCAATCACTTTTGCTGTTTTCTACCTACATTTCACATTGATTTTTATGCACCTGCTCAACGTACACCATAATATTTAACACTTACCACCACTATTTAGATAACAGTAATGTTAAATTACAGACACTGGCATACTAGAATATCGCCATATTTAAAGAAAGTACAACCGTTATATTTTGTCACGTTTATTTACACCCAAGTTTTTCAAATATTAAAAGGTTTTTCTAAAAAAAAACACACTGTTATTTACAAGGGTTATATTTTATTAGCATAAATACATGACTTCATAAAAAAATGAAGAAGTAATCTTTTATGCTGCTCAGGTTAAATTGCGGAAAGCAGTAAAATGAGATGCTTCCTATACAGGGTGTTTTCGAAGTTGAGTCATTTATTTTAACAGCTTGTAGAACTCGTCAAAAGAAGTCGATATACCAAAAATCACCTAAATAAAAGTTGCATATTAAAAGAAATAAAAAGGAATTTCAAAATTTTAAAACTAAAACAAATACAAACTATTTATCCGCATATTTTAATATTCCTGACCACTGCCAAGTAAAAACTTATAGTTGTTTGTTTACTACGACAATTTTACTTATCTAGGTAGGTATGGCTATTTTTTTTGTTTTACGGTTTTGAGAACGATTTTCAGTTAGTTATTGGTATCAAGCGTTTAGATCGTATCACTTTAATTTTTTTGATATTTTGTACGGAAAAATGGCCCACGTTTATGGAAACAATGAACTAGTGGACATAATACTAACATACGGAGAGTGCCAACAAAATGCAGCCGCAGCATGTCGCCTTTACGCGGAAATGTTTCCATTAAGAAATCATCCGGCTCCACGGATGTAAATTTAGTTATTCGACTTCGTAAGACAAGGATACTTGAAACACAACGAGGGGGTCACGCTGAAAGACCTGCTCCACCTGAATTGGTAGAAATTGAGGAAAATATTTTGAAAATGGTGGAAGATGAGCCAACAATAAGTACCAGAGCCATAACAACTTAAGTCGATGTTTCCCATAGTAAAGTGTCGAAAACAATACGATAGGATCAATATTATCCTTATCATTATCAACGGGTACAAGCATTACAACCTGAAGATCACCCTAGAAGAATTGAATTTTGCCAGTGGTTTTTACAACAGTTGAACAGAAATGAAGATTTTACGAAAATAATTTTAGCTACAGACGAATCCACATTTACAAGAAATGGGATATTCAATTTTCACAACAATCATGTTTGGGCAGTAGACAATCAGCATGCCGTCTAATCTAATTTCCAACATAGATTTTCATTAAATGTTTGGGCTGGTGTAGTAAATGGCATGCTTATTGGACAATACTTTTTTCCACCTCGGCTAACCGGTGACATTTATTTAGATTTTCTTCGACACCATCTGCCAAAATTATTAGAAGATGTTCCACTAAATGTTGGGCAGGATATGTGGTTTCTATATGACGGAGCTCCACCGCATTTCAGAAGAGGAGTTCGTGAATATTTGAATGAACAGTTTCCGAATAGATGGCTAGGAAGAAATGGACCCGTTTCTTGGCCTGCACGCTCCCCGAACCTAACGCCTTGTGATTTTTTTTGTGGGGTTATTTAAAATAGTTGGTGTATGATGATGGAGAAGTAAATACTGTGGAAGAACTTCAAGACCGCATTGTAAATACTTGTGATGTTATTCGCGGACATCCGGATTTTATTTTGAAGGCCTGTCAGGAGTGGTGGGTATGCCGAGCAAGACTATGTATTAATCGGACAAATAGTAACAATTTTGAACAATTTTTGTAAACATTTTTATGAATGAATGTTTTTAATTTAAAAAAAAACTATAACTCCCTTATTATGCAACTTTTATTTAGGTGATTTTTGGTATATCGACTTCTTTTGACAAGTTCTACAAGCTGTTAAAATAAATGACTCAACTTTGAAAACACCCTGTATACTCAAAGAAATCACCAGTACCCCGAAACGTGCAAAAAAATATAAAAGGGCATTTTCAAAATTGATGATTGGAGAAACTTGCTATCTTACACCATTACAAGCATTAGAAATGTTCGTAGAAGCTGATTTAACTCGTAGACAGTACGAAGTCATTAAAAATTCTACTCCTCTTATAGTGTTTTATAAGAAGGCAGAACAAGAATGTTACCCATCTGTCGATTCATGCACAGTAAATAGTACTAGCGCAGAGAGATTTACAGTATATAGTTGATCTTACGTTTATGCGTTTGTCAATTTTCCTAGAAAAAGCTGAATAAGCAAGAACGAGATAGCTTAAGATAATTTGCAAATGGGGTTGTGACGGATCTCATCAATCTCAGTTCAAACAAAAATTTGAAAATGATGCCGACTCAGACTCTAACATTTTTCAGAGCTGTTTTGTCCCTCTACGATACCCAACACCCTCTTCTGCACGGTATTGCCGACTTATAAGATTTCGTTTTAATAGAGGGAGTACTGATATTATGGAAGAAGAAATTAATTATATTAAAAATTTTGTTAGGTCATTAAACTCAACAAAGGAGGACTTAAATTGAATCAACTTTTTAGTAAAACATGCGTTTATCATGACGATGGTAGACGAAACAGTCTGCAATGCTACCACTTGCACGAAATCTATAAGCAGATGTTTCGTATGTGGTGCAACGGCTAAGAAATTGAACCAATCGGATTTAAAAAAAAAAGATTTCAAAAACTGTAAGTCCTGAAGCTACAAAATTTGAGCTTTCAGTTACACATGAAAAAATTAGTCTTTTTGAAACGACTCTCCATTTGGCTAACAAATTGCCAGTAAAAAAATACAAACAGAGAAAATCTGAAACGAAAAAAATATTGAATCAGAGAGGAAACTGGGAATCTAGGCAAGATTTCGCAAAGAAACAAGTTTGATGGTGGATATGCCGAAGGCAAATTTTGGCAACACAAATGACGGAAACACGAGCCGAAGAGTTTTTAAAGACCCCGCACGTGGCTTCCGAAATAAAAGGAATTAGTTATGATCTAATTTATCGATTAAAGGTCATACTAGGAACGATTTCGAGCAGACATATAATTGTTGCTGAAAAATATTACAAATACGCATCAGATACTGCTTGATTCTATGTCCTTGTAACGTGATACTTGTTATTTTATCTATTTGTTATAGTGTTTTAAGCACAATTGATTTTGGGAGTAGGTCAGGTTGTTAAATAACTCGAATTACCTTGAAAAAGAAGTTGGGCACCACTATATTTAAAACTTACTGTACTTGACTATAGATTAGTGATAAAAATATAGAAAATCACTAACCATTAAGATATTATATTTAAACAAAGTTTTAGATAAGGTAGCAACAAATTCTAATTCACAGAGATTTACTGAATTCAAATTTAGTTGATTTATTTAAATAAATAACTTATCTGTTGCAACAGGAGGTAGTTAGATTAGGAGCACGGTATACTAAGCCTTGTTCTGGACTTGAACGATCTTCTATAGGTGAACCAAACCTTAGTCTTCGGATGGCACCAAACTCTTAGGTATAAATCTCCATAAACAGTTTTAGATATAACTTGAAATAAACTTCTTTAGATATAACTCGAAATAAACCTCTTCATAAAACTCGAAATAAACTTCTTAGATACAACTCGAACTAAATCTCTTAATATAACTCGAACTAAACCGTCTGGATATAGCCAAGCTAAAAGGAAAAGGTAAAAATGTTAAGAAAGGAAATAGGAAATTTGTACAGGACCCAGATAAAATGCCTTTAACTAATAACTGAACAATTTAAACTATTAAATAAATAATTTCACAGAGACTAAAATTAATATGAGAAGGAAAAATCTTATTTAATATATTTAAATATAGTAAAGCATAATATCTCATTCCTAACATAATAATATATAAAATTATATAAAACGTGTTATCCATGTGTTATTTATGTATTGAGGTTATCTTTAAAATTGTACATTTCATTTAAGAAATTATTGTACAAAATATATATTTTCAACAATATATCGGTATTAAAGCTTACCTTATAAAATCAGACGGCCAATAAGAATATTAAAAGACAATTAGTACATCGGATGTCCAAGATATATTAAAATTCAAAATCAACTTGATTCGTTGACACATACAAATCAAAATTAAATGCGAACTTTTGACGCAAGGCATAAACGACAAATGACATTTGAGTAGAGATGTCTGTTTTAAAATAACGAAAACGGTTCCAACCGTTACACCCCACTACCTCCGGGTAAAAAAAAAATAAATTTTAATTTGATTTTTTTTTTATTTTTCTTTACTACTCCCATATTCTCTCCTTTTATTGCAACTAACTAGAGTGATACAAGAGGTGAAACGATCAATGGATTACTTTTTAAGAGTGTTGCTCGCCGATATCCACAGTAATCGAAGGTCACTGCAAGAAAAGGTCCTTCAAAAATCATGGTATACCGTAGAAGAAAATTAAAAATTGCAAAAAAAAAAAAATATAAATAAACAATGATTATACACCATCATACAATGAATAACACAAGATATAGCTGTAAAAAAAAGTTAACAAAGTAAGAAGAAATAAGAAAATATATACTTCCTATTAGATTAGTATATAAAGATAAGAAAATTAGTAAATAAGCATTATATAATATATGCATGTTCGTTCTTATACAAACTTGAACCACATAAAAATGCAATCATGCATCAGTAAAATAAAGTTCAAATTAAAGTTAAATCATTAATCTAAAAAAATTATACTGGCATAAACCATACATATATAAGATAAAGGTAAGGTAGAGAATAGTAAATACTCAGATTACTAAGTATTCATGTGTAACAAAAAAGAGAAAAACAAACTGATAATTTTTAAGGTACATAAAATAAAGGGACTATGGACACATATTTTGGTATTTAGTGATGCTTTCACAATAGGAAGATGTTCATAAACTTACAACTAAGACTTAAAACTAAAAAAAATTTTTTTTTTTAGAAAACAATTGAAATTTTTACTGTAGCCCTTAAAGACCAAAGATTTACAACTTAAACTAGGAAGATTTACTACTTAAGCTTTTAAGTGCTTGTTTTAAAAAATAATTAGATTAAAATAAAAAAATTGATTTAAATACATAGAATAAAGAGACTTGAGACACATCTTTCGTTATTTAGTGATGCTCCCAAAAAGGAAGTGGTTGTTGAACTTACAAACTAAGACCTATTATTAAAATAAAAAATTATGAAGACAACTGAAATTTTGAGTGTAGCCCTTAAAGATTTACAACTTAATCTATGAAGATTTACTACTTCAGCTTTAAGTACTTGTTTATAAAAAAAAAATTGAATAAAATGAAAAAATTGATTTTTAACTTTAAATCTACACTCTTATGACATACAAATGTCACAAAAAATTGATTTTAAATTTAAATCTGCCCTCTTGTACCATACAAATGTCACAATCAAGGAAAGATAAGATAAAGGTAAATAATGGTATGTAAAGTAATGAAAGGTAAACTAGAAAGAATGCTCATTGAACTATATTTGCATATATCATAACTAAGTAAAGGTGAACCATTTTAAATCAAAGGTTAATATCTTGATATTCAAAAAACATAGTAAGTACATTATGTACTCAAGGTATAAATAATATTATTAAACGATAAATAAAACATTCTCTTAACTAGTGAACAAAGATATATAATAATATTATAGAAGATAAATTATGAAAATCAAGATACATAATGTACACACATTAGTGAGTACAGATAAGGTATACGAAACATCTTCGTAATGCTGTCACTTTTCTCAGTGTAAATCAGCAAAGGTACATACAAAGTAGTAAAGTTAGGTAAAAAAAAATATAGTAATGCAAGTTATCTGTTAACCTAAAGTTAACCCAAATATAAAATTTTGCAATAATCAACTTAATTATTTTCAATATAAAGTGAAGACAGAGGTATCAAACGATATTGCTAAAAGCATAAAATCTCAAATTATAATTGAAAAAAAAATAAAGATATACAAACTTTTACTACTTGTATTTAAATATAATTTAAAGATGGTTCGGAATGAAATAGGTATGCAATAGTGAGGTACTTAACCCTATAAAGAAAAAACATTAAATGCTAGATAATATAGTTCAAAGTCAACTGAGGTATTTTAATATTGAATTTACGGAAAAAGTAAACAAATTAAAATATTACTCAAATTTAATAACAATATATAAATGTATTACTAATCAAGAGAGAAAAAAAATCCTAATAAATGTTTCAGTTAAATAGTAAATAGTATTAGCAACTGAATACATATTACCAAAAATTAAAGTAGCTGTTACAGACAGTATTGCTTTAAAAAATAAGCAGTAGCAGACAGTTAAAAGTTAGAAGGTAATGTCTAGTCTGGCTCATAAATATTCCAATGGTGTTAAAGAAAAAAAATTGACTACAGGTGGTATAACTTGGTCGTGTAGGTAATAGCAGAATATTAAAAAGCCAGATACTAATCTTTACTCTTCTGGCCTGACAGTATATGAAAAATTTTGTAATATTTTAACTTATTAAAAGGAACGGTATGGAAATCAAGACAATTGCAGAATATATTATTCACTGTTAGAGGTATCATTATTAATGATAGTTATGACTTCATTATAATCATCTTCAGATAAATTTAAAAAACAATAAATTTAATTGGTTAAAGGCACACACAAAGTTTTATCACTAACAAAAAAATTTTTTACTCGATAGGCACAAAAATCAACTTTAGGGAAAAATTCAAAAACTATACACTTTTATCAGTCTATAATAAATATAAAGATATATCACTAGCAAAATAATAAATATGTGTAAATAAATATGTGTAAATATGTATAAATAAACACTGAACCTAGTACAAAATGCAGATATTATATGAAACTTGACGATACGATACACAGATTTATAGAAAAGGTTAAAATAATAGGCATGAAAGTATTAGTAAAAATAGAAAAGACATGCAGTTAGCATCGTTAATTTTTGTGAAATACTTGTGAATTGGAACGATAAGTTTTAAGGAATCTATTTCAAAGTAACGAGCTATTTAACCCAGTAGTTGAGGCGCCACTTTTGTAACGTGATACTTGTTATTTTTTCTATTTGTTATAGAGTTTTAAGCTCAATTGATTTTGGGAGTGGGTCAGGTTGTTAAATAACTCGAATTACCTTGAAAAAGAAGTTGGGCACTACTATATTTAAAACTTACTATACTTGATTATAGATTAGTGATAAAAATATAGAAAATCACTAATCATTAGGATATTATATTTAAACAAAGTTTTAGATAAGGTAGCAACAAATTCTAATGCACAGAGATTTACTGAATTCAAATTTAGTTGATTTATTTAAATAAATAACTTATCTTTTGCAACAGGAGGTAGTTAGATTAGGAGCACGGTATACTAGGCCATCTTCAAAGGGATTCCTATTCTTAGTTCTGGACTTGAACGATCTTCTATAGGTGAACCAAATCTCAGTCTTCAGATGGCACCGAACTCTTTGGTATAAATCTCCATAAACAGTTTTAGATATAACTTGAAATAAATTTCTTTAGATATAACTCGAAATAAACCTCTTGATAAAACTCGAAATAAACTTCTTAGATACAACTCGAACTAAACCTCTTGATATAATTAGAACTAAACCGTCTAGATATAGTCAAGCTAAAAGGAAAAGGTAAAAATGTTTAAAAAGGAA